TTTTAAAAAAGAAAATATTGAAATTATACACAATAATGTATGCTAAGACAGAGTACAGTAGGTGCTCAATAGGTGTTCCCTCCTTCTGAAACCCCCCTTTCCTTTATTTCTCATGGTCTTTACCTTCTCATTTGACTAATTTGATATTCGATGATTAATTCTTTTTTAAATGTTTGTTTATTTTTTGACAGAGACAGAGAGAGAAAGACAGAGAATCTCAAGTGGGATTCCCCAACATGGGGCTCGAACTCACCAATGGTGAGATCACGACCTGAGCCAAAATCAAGAGTCACAGGCTCAACCAACTGAGCCACCCAGGCATTCTAATTCTGATTATTATCCCATATGTTTGTTTTTAAAATCTATTTATTTATTTTGAGAGAGACAGAGTGCAAGCAGGGGAGGGGCAGAGAGAGAGGGAGAGAAAGAATCCCAAGCAGGCTCCGCACTGTCAGCGCAGAGCCCCATGCCTGAGCCGAAATCAAGAGTCACATGCTCAACCGACTGAGCCACCCAGGCTCCCCACCCCGTGTTTGTTTTTAAATAGGACTACAAATTCTTTGACGCTCCCTTCTTCAAAAGGCAGAAACTACTATTCCTCCCCTTGAAGGCTGGCTGGACCTAGTGACTTGCCTTTGACGGGGAGGATACAGCAGAAGTGAAGGTGTGACTTCTGAGGCCAGGTCATGAAAGGGATCGTAGGTTCCGCCTTATCCTGTTTCGGGTTGTCTCTCTCTGGGTCACCCTGAGGACAGTCAAGCAGCACACGTGCGTGGGGAAGACAGAAGGTGTCTCACCAACAGCAAGCACCAAATTGCCAGCCTCCTGGCAGTAGGTCTTCCTGCCCCGGCCCAGCCCTCAGATGGCTGCAGCTCTGGCTGGCACCTTCACTACAACCTCCTCAGAGGTCCCCAAGCCAGAATGCTCCTGAATTTCTGACCCAAAGGAACCCAGAGATATAATAAAAGCATATTGTTGTGTTAAGCCTCTGCATTTTAGGCTGCAATGGATTAGTACATATCCGTTCATGTCCAAAGAGGCTCTGAAACTGCATATGGGTAAAGGCAAACTATAGCTACACGGAAAGCTATCGGAACAAGATTTAAAAGATGGGAGTGAAGTAATAAACGGGGCACGTATACCGAAGAGTCCATTTCCTTGCTCGAGAAAATCTGGTTAAAGACAAAGTAAAGCTTTAAGTCTTCTTACAAGCCAAGGTAAAAATGGAAGCCTAAAGGGCATATTAAAACTGCGTTGTTGTTGTTTTTTTTCCTTTTGGCTCAGAATAAGGATATGCTTTTGACACGTGGGTGTTTAGCTAAATAGCACCACAGAATGGTGGCTGGTGATACTCGGTATCTTGCAGATGCGTGCCTGCCGTAGATCGCACTGAGCAGGTCTGAAACACTTTCAATGCTGCGCTTTCTGACAGTTTTCAGAAACTCTTGGCATCACAAAGCCAGGGGAAAATGTATACTGTGTTTCGTAAGCTTTTTACATAGGTACTAGATAAAACACAAAGTATCAAAAGGCTTATAGGAAAAGTCTCCACCCACCGTTGTCCCCCACAGGCTAGTTTCCTTTCCCGTGGTCAGCCCTCTGTGACTGGTTTCTGGTTTAATTTTCCAGAGACAGTTTATATGCAAAGAAATAATACATACTGTTTGCTCCCTTTATTACACAAACAGTAGCCCTCTGTAGGCGTGGTGCAGCATTGTGCCTTTTATTATTCAATACTGATAGAGGACTTAAAGATAACATTTCCCTTAATTATCACAGTGTTTGATTTTCTGAGTTTTCATTATTTTATTATTCAAACGCTGACATTGACACTCAACCAACTGAGCCCCCCAGGGGCTCCACCTACTATTTACTTTCACAAACTCCCATTCTCTCTCTCTTACCACTAACCATCATATTGTGTTTTTCTTTCTTTTTTTTTTAATTTTTAAGGTTTGTTTATTTTTGAAAGAGAAAGAGAGAGAGACAGAGTGCTCACGGGGGAGGGGCAGAGAGAAGGAGACACAGAATCTGAAACAGGCTCCAGGCTCCCAGCTGTCAGCACAGAGCCCGACGCGGGACTCAACCTCATGAACTGCAAGATCATGACCCGAGCCGAAGTCGGACACTTACCTGACTGAGCCCCCCAGGGGCCTCTCAGGTTTTTCTTAGAAGCACATTTATTTTCTCGAGAGTGCTCTGCCCAGCCCAGGACTGAGGTGAGCCTGTCTCTTCCGGGTCTTCTCCAGGCTGCTGCTTGAACAGCTCAGACTAGCTGCTGTCACCAGCGCACCTGCAAGATGGGCAGCAGAGACTGTGAAGCATCATTTAGGCTTGTTCACAAAGGACCTTTCTAGATCGCCAAGATGAGACGGCTGGGGCCATGAAGCCCGTGGATGGCCCACCCCCTGTCTGATGTCAAGGGGCAGAGAGAGCTAGGAAAGGTCAGCCTTGTTAACAAGAGCCCCTAAGTCAGTTGCTCCCCTGAACGTGTCTTGGAATCACGGTGATCAGTTTAGTCCTACGGGTTCTCCAGGAAGCTGCTCTGGGTTGAGGCGTTCCCCTTGACCTCGAAGGAAGTTGCTGCTCCAGAGCTTCCCTGCCTGGGAGGAATTGTCATGACAGTTCACCTCCTCCATCACACCTCCCAGTGCGATTTCTTACTGGGAAAGGGCAAGTTACACAGGGTTATCACTCATTCCTCGTCATCTTCTGTCCTTTTTCAAAGATTGGAAATCTGGTCACAGCTGTACAAAGAATTCTGGAAAGTACAGGAATGACAACATTTTAATTTTTTTAAATGTTTTATTTATTTCTAGGAGAGAGACAGAGAGGGACAGGGTGAGCAGGGGAGGGTCAGAGAGAGAGGGAGTCACAGACTTGGAAACAGTCTCCAGGCTCTGACCTGGCAGTCAGCACAGAGCCCGATGCGGGGATCGAACCCACGAACCGCGAGATCATGACCTAAGCGAAAGTCGGACGCATAACCGACTAAGCCACCCAGGCGCCCCAGGAATGACAACATTTTAAAGGCATAACAGTGAAAGGGATAAACTAGCTATAGTTTTAATCTTTTCCCCAATATTAATTTTCTTCCAGCAGATAAATGGGACAGGGGTGGGGGTGGGGTGATAACACCAGCATAGCTAACATTAATTCAGGGCTTACTGCTATTGGGCTAAGTTTTGTGTACATTATAATCTTGCTTAGTTTTTATAACTGCCCAAAGGGGTTAGTGCAATTATGCCCATTTTATAGAAAAGTGAAAACCTAGGACTTAAAATCAGGTCTTTAGGACTCCAGGGCATAAACTCTTACTTTTAAACTATCATGCTTTATTGTTGGACAAAGAAAAAAAATGCTACAACAATGTCAGATGTGGAAATTCCAAGGTCTTATTAGTATAATTGTTTAATAAGATATGTGACAGGTCATATGCCATATTCTAGCACCAAAATGACTTGAGAGGGAAAGAAAACGTGAGCCTAGGACAATGCAAGTTTATTTAATTGATGTCTGCTGTCCCCAGAGATTCATGTAAATTGAGATGACAGGATAGGAGTTATCTTTTGAAATTAAAAATAGTAAAAGTATAAGCTCTCACGTTTGATTATGCTGGTTTCGAACCCAAGGTTTGCCACTTACTAATTGTGTGACCTCAGGCAACCGCTTTACACTTTAGTTTTCCTATTGGTAAAATGGGATAATGGCATCTACCTCAGAGGTTTGTTGTATTAAATTAATGCATACAGGGGTGGCTGGGTGGCTCAGTCAGTTAACTATCTGACTTCAGCTCAGGTCATGATCTCATGGTTCATGGGTTTGAGCCCCACATTGGGCTCTGTGCTGACAGCTCAGAGCCTGGAGCCTGCTTTGGATTCTCCTCTCTCTCTGCCACTCCCTGGCTCACGCTCTGTCTCCCAAAATTAAATTAAAATGTTAAAAGAAAATAAGTTAATGCATCCATTTTAAGCACTTGGTGTTTAGTAAATTCTAGCTCTTAACATTTAACCCACCAAGTTATAACGTGTCAATATCCGTCAATGACAGCAGCCTTCAGTTAAATAAAGAATTATCGAAGATCCAAAGGGCAGTACATGAATTGAAAAACCACACTGTGATCAGGATGTGGTACTGTATCTCTGTTCATTTCAAAACATATCTGTAGGAGGGTTGGCTATGACAAAGACCAGGCACAGCTCTTTGTGGATCCTCTAAGTTGTCCTTGGGTCCCTAACCAAAACCTCAGGGTACACTTGCACAGGAAGCCCCTCCCCCCCTGGATTAGTGAATGCCTGAGGGCTGCCCAGGCAATTTGCCCTGGGGGTAAACTCTGCCTTAGCTAGAAGCCACTGCACCCTGAGAGAGAAGGTAGGGGAAGGCTTCTCTGGCTTCCCTGCAAGTTCTAATACCTGATTTTCCTACTAGCTGATAAGAAGGCTGCATTTGGTGAATAACCCGTCATGACTGTAAGAAACAGACTTGGAGTCTGAATCCCAGATCTACCACTTCCTAGGTGCTCACGTAAGAGAAATTACTTAGCTTCTGTCTAAACCTCGGTTTCCCTTCAGTGGAGTTCACCCTACAGTGCAGGAGTGCGGATGAAATGAGATCATATAATTCAAACACGTAATACAGTGCCAACGCGTGGTAGGCACTTGATAAACCGTAGCCATGATTTGCCTTACAGATCAGACTAATAACGTCAACTAGGGACTTTTATCCTAAGCCACTTCCTGACTTTCACTATTTCATATATATGAGGACATCTTGGTGGGGTACTTTTTTTTTTAAATTTTTAATGTTTTATTTATTTCTGAGAGAGAGAGAGACAGCATGAGCAGGGGAGGGTCAGAGGGAGAGGGAGACACAGAATCTGAAGCAGGCTCCAGGCTCTGAGCTAGCTGTCAGCACAGAGCCCGACACGGGGCCCGAACCCACGAACCGCGAGATCATGACCTGAGCCGAAGTCAGACGCTTAACTGACCGAGCCACCCAGGTGCCCCTTGGTGAGGTACATTTTATTCACCGTCATCAGCATGAACAGTACTGTCTATCGTGAGCAACCGAAATGCGTATCGTATTTCTGGCCACGCAGGGTGGAGGGCCAAAGGATGGGCGAGGTGCAGTCTCTGTGCTCCCAGAGCGCACGGCCTGCTGGACGAGACGGATACATAATCAATAATGCTAATTTAAGACAGGCTGGGAGAAGCATGATCCCAGAGTGCTACTGGGGTTTGTAAAGGAAGAAAGTCCTTCTGATGAGAGAAACGTCCTCCGTCAGGTGGTGGCCACGAAGGCACCTGAGAGGGTGCAAGCCCTCAGCCGGGCGTGTGGGTTAGGAAGAGGGGTGAAGAGGGTCTGCTTACCAGGGCGTAGGAACGGTGTTCTGCAGACCACTGGGGCTCAGGGGACTGAGTGATTCAAGCAGATACTGATGACAGGTCTGAGCTCCTACGGGTGAGGGCCCAAGGAAGCCATTATCTCTCTAGCAGCAGGCTGGAGGAGTGAATGGAGAGGTCATTATCTGGGCAAGTGTCGCAGAGGGGCCTCTGAGTCAGTGGCAAAAGGTGATTGCCACAACCAGCGTCACGGAGGATGTGGCCTGTAGAATCAAAGCTGTTTTGCTAAACTCATAGCTTCATTTATTCCAGGAGGAGGAAGATACAGACTCAATTCTCATTCAACCCAATCGGTGCTCGTGAGGAACATCCTATGGTGACTCCCGGAAGGGGGGGCCAGCCATCCCTAGAGCTAATTTCTGTGGTGAGACTGTGCCTTCAGAGTTCACAAGGAACATCGGGCCGGATTCACAGCTAGTGTTTTGGAAGCACTTGGCCCCTGTTTGTCAGTCGTTGCTAGTCCTCTCTCAGGTAGGTTCTGGTTTGCAGGGGTAATAACCACTCCTATTGTCCCGTGGCACTCTTACGTGGCCGCGTCTGCTGTCACAGAGGGCTCCCTCCACTGGGACAGTCAGGCTGGGCCCCCTCCCATCTCTGCAGCACAGCTCTCCCTCCACGGCTGGAGCCCCCAGACCCCCTCACCTGCTGTGGCCTCCAGGACTGGTCCCGATGAGGCAGGAGGAGCTAAGGCGGCTCTAGCTACAGGGCTCTGGGGACTCGCTCGGCGTTAAGCCACGCCTGTCCCCAGGCCAGTCATGACCTTGTGTCTTGCCTCCAGCACTGCCTTGCTTCTGGAATTCTGAGTGGTATTGTGTACCTCGGGGCTGCTAGCAGGGTCCCCACCTGTCATTCTCCTTACCTGTGAGTTCCTGTCCCAAGGAACTGTCCTGGGGCCCCTTGGGCTGGAGATCCTGGCATTGCCCCACAGGAAGCAGAGGAAATGCTGCTCTTGAGCCCGTGGCTGGGGCTCCCGCAACACGCGGGAGACTTGCTGGCCTGCCTTCCTGCTCCGGATTCCTGACTGGGACGGACACTTCCCTGATGAAGACCGCTTTACCAGACTGTGCTTTTGGTGGACTGCCCCCCCCCCCCCCCCCCCCCCCCCCCCCCCCCCCCGAGTCCGTGTTTCACCTGCGGGCCTGGACTTCCTACTAGCGGCTTCAGCCTGAGCTGTTCTCCCCGGGCCTGACCTTGCTCGGTGAGTGGGGAGGATTCCGGAGCTCGCCCCATCCGGTCTGCCCCGTTCTTCTGCAGTTAATTGAGAGCCATGCTCAGCCCGACTGTGGCAAGTACATGTGCATGGACTCTTGCTAAATATTAACCTAAAGGTCAAAGTGGAGACAGGAGATCATACCTATATGAAATCATTTCATATACGCGGTTTAAAGAGAGAAAATTATTTAAAATATATTTTAAAAATGAAACGTCTCAGTTACCACACAACGTATTTTAAAAGACTCAACAGTCTCCAACATCCAGTGCTATGGAAGCCCACCGTCTCCGCTGTGGACAAGTAGCTACTATTTTGGAAAACATTTCTGGTGGTCTTAATAGCCCCAGATTACCTTTATTTAAGTTGAAACAAATGAAGCCACACTTCCAAGATAGAAATTGGGTAGGAAGGAATCTTTAACCCTCACCTGTGAGCCTAGTAAACAGCCCTGGAAGAGTGGGCCTGTGCCTGCCTGCAAGTTGGGGTATCTGCCTGCTTTCTCCTCAAACCGAGCGGGGTCATCTATTCTGAAGTCAAAGTCTATCAAGCCAGCCACCACTGAAATCCAGCCCCTAGAGCATTACTCAACAGGAAAGGGTGAGTTATAGAACGCAACAACGACTTCCTCCACGGCTCCTGCTCAGAACCTATTGCTTTTGGAAAAACCAATTAGTTTAGATCCTGTCTGTGAGAGAAAATGCTCTTACATCAAGGACAGACACCAGACTGGCAAATCCTTGAAGAGGGTCTAGCGGCACTGCAGCCCCAGGCCTGGGCTGGGACAGTCACGGCCAACCTTTTCTAAACCCAGAAAAGTATAATTTAAGTCAAGAGTACCAGAGGGAAATCCACAAAACTGTCTACCTCTTAACTCTTGCATTTTATAACCACACCACTTCCTCATTTCCAACCCATCTGTTAGAATATTACTGCTGTGGGAAATCCAAGTCTTTCTGGATAAATCTCAAGTGTAAATATCAACCTGATGGGACACTGGTCTGAGAAGTCCAATTAAATAATACTCCAAATTGGTCTTTCCATAGGGCTCATACATTTCCTGGCTTTTTGCAGTCTGCTCTACAAGTAGACAAACAGGACACAATCTTGTCGACAACATTTCAGACAAGATTTTGTACTACATATTGGTTGTCATTTCGAAAGCATAGCCAAAAAATTTTGGAATAATTTCTTAGAAACTTAGTATTTATCAGTGCACGTCCAAGCTAGATTCATACTACCACTCTGCTTCCTCTTTCGCTTCTTACCAAATTAGATTAATGCAATCAATGCTGTTGATTTTAAGGTATGGAGTTTAGCAAAGAACTAGTGTTCTGCCTAGTGATGGGGATTACCTGGGACTGAAAATAAGTTTGTGTGTGTGTATTTTACCATTGTGAGCAAGGTCAAAGCTGGCCTGGTGGGTGACAAATCTTAAAGCAGTTTGGGAATAAAACAAAAGCTAGCTTAATCAATAACGTTCACCATTGCTTCAGTATCAAGATTTACCCAACCAGAAATGATACAGGCCTTAAAAATAATTATGGACTGCATATATATCCATTTATCTTTCTGCTAGATAAAATACATAACTTTTTTGCTATGAAAGGAATATCAAAAGGTACCAGAGTTTATCACTTAAGGTATAAATGACATTTAAAATATTTCAGGTTGCAGCAAGAAAATCAGCATTTTGATTAACTTGAGAAAAGGCACAAAATTCTCACACACATCTGACAGAGTTGGAACATTAAGGAAAACAATTATTGATTACATAATACACAGGCTCAGTTTTGCAACATGTTTCTTAATGATTTCCATAATAACATTTTAAGCATTAATTGCACTATAGAATGTGCAAAATGCGTATTTATTCCTAGGTTATGATCTGATGAGTTTCCAAGGGAGATCACGGTACAGTAGAAAAGCAGGCGATGCGGACCTGAAGCCCTTTGCCGGAATCCTGGCTTAGCGGCCGGAGCTGTGTGATGTTAGGCAAGCACAACTTCTCTGAGGATGGACTCTTCTGAAGTCAGAACAAGGAAACCAGGCTGAAGGAATGAATGGACTAATCTGGTATCCATAAACTTTCCTCAGCCTTAAACAGCATCCAGCAATGCATAATCAGAATAAAGTCCCAAATGGAGCCTGAAAGGTATTTTGAAGAAAGTTCCCGCAATGAATTAAAACTAAATTTAGACCCAGAATTGCCCTCTGATGGTCATCTCTTAGAAATGAAATCCCCTGGAATACTACTGAATTTGCAAGTTTTTTCTATTACAAGTTCGCCAAAAGGCTGATTCTGTTCTGATCGTCAGGACACTAGATTTTTCTCCACAAAAGATCATCTTTCAATGTACTCATTTACAAAAAGTTGTAGGTAAATTAACATAGACTTCTGATATTTAAAACTACTTCTAGAACTAGAGGTGCCTGGCTGGCTTAGTTGATGGAGCATGTGACTCTTGACCTCAGGGTTGAGAGTTCATTCAAGCCCCACACTAGGCCTAGAGCTTACTTAAATAAATTTAAAAAATATTATTTTTTTTAAATAAAACTACTTCTGTAACTAGATTAAGCAGTCTGAAAAAGGTTTTAAAATAACATTTTCCTTGGAATGGCTCTCCTTGTCCCCAACACTGAAAATCAAAAAGGAAAAAAAAAGTCTCTTTTGCATCTTAATTAAAGATAGAGATACCTTGTCTTCCAGGTGTCTCGGTGAAGATTCAAGGGCTGGTTCTTACCCTAAAGGATAATATCACCATAGATCATTCCTACTTTGCTGGTATTCACTAATTTCTTCATTCTTGGGGTGATTTGTTGAAAAAAAGCAAAGTCTTCCAAATCAAAAGTTTATGTTTTATCCCAAAACTATATCCCATCTTCTATCAAAACATGAAATCACAGTGGATGGACTTAAAATCCAAACTAAGGAAAGTGCCTTAAAAAAAAAAACCTCACAAAAAGGTACCCTGGAGCGACACTGGGCTTGGCACACAGATGTCACAAGTAATTTTAGAAATCTCAATTTTTATGGGTGAAATAAATACTAGCACCTCCTTTTCATTTCCCATAAGCCTTAGTCTCATAATCTACAAAACGGGGATAATATCATCTACTTTCTGGGGATGTTGGGAAAGCCAAATTAGACAGTATATGAAAAGCACTTAGCATAATTTTGATAACAGAAGGCATTAAAAGAGAGAGAGATTATCAATTACATCCCCAGTCAAAACATGCCAATTATTGAAGGAGGCATTATATCTCCACTCACAGCCACGAGGAGTCATTTTCTACCATCACTTCTGAGATATCACTTCAAAAATGGTTTCATCATGTTCACCACAGGCATTAGAGTCCTTGCTGGTGGTAATTGTATTGGTGAAATGGGACTCGCCAAGACAAAACGCTGAGAATGATCTAGAAGGAGAATGATAAGCAACAAAGGAAATGTCTCCTCTTCTAAGTTCTGGGTATTTCAAAACAAACATGGTGCCTACAGACTAAAAAGGGGAAGTTAAATTCAAGGACTAGAAACATCGTGGTTTGTTGGGTCTATTACACCCTCTAGTGGCCAAAAAGAAGATTGTTCTTTTAAAAAATCTTGGTTTGGTCAAGATTGCAATTCTGATGTGTATGTGTATGTATCACCGTTGAGCTTAAAAAATAATCAGCTTCCCTTTATGGCCTTTTTTCTTTTTTTACCTTTGTCTTTTCTCCATGCTGAATGAAAATACTAAATCCCAGAGGACAAGACACAGGCAACACACCTTTCACTCTGTATTGACTCTATACTGACTTTCAAATGTAACTAGAATTCATCATCATTGTTGCTTTACGAAAGGGAATTTTGAAATGTGTATCTTTCTAAAGCAGCAATTTTTCACCACAGGGTTATTTACAAACCAAGGTAATAATTAAATATGCCCAAGACTATGAATCTATTCTTTTCTGCCCAAACCCCTCATTTTTATAATGGGTAATTATAGTAAAAACTTCAATTAACCAGAACCCTCAATTAACATGATTTCCCCTCTTGCACTCTATTTTTAGGACAAAGTGGAAAAAAAATCACAAGAAGTCATTCATGTGAAGGACTGGGTTTGAAAATCTAGGATGAATTATGCTATGTAGAGAAAAAAAAACCCAGAAAAAATTACATTCATACCATGATAACCAATATATAGGAGATACAGCTATAGATCATCAAGGGTTGGAAGGGAATAGGTTTATTTTGAATGCTAATGTGCTAAAATTATAATCTATTTTCTATCCTTTTTTTTTTAAGTGTCACATTGTTGCATAAATAAAAGGCAAAGAGAAGGGTGATGTATAAGCTCAGCACATATTCTGCAACATTTTCTATTCTACGTCCACAGATCTGAACAGGAGACCTGAGGCAGAATCAGTCCTAAGTCCTTCAAAGATCTTTAGATCGCAGACATGCAGCTGAGGTCACCGTACACTATTGAGACAAAAAACAGGTCACATTTCTTCTAACATGAGAGCTGAAATAAGAAGCATTTTTGTAGAGTGAATTTTAAACTAATTTGAAAATAAATTTACCAGGATATCACTTATTCAGAAGCAACAGTCCTACTCAAAATCTCACTGTAATAAAACAAATTCAACATCCCACAAAGTAATTCAGGCTAAGCAACCACCCCTGAATTGAAATGATGCCAAATCCATCTATTTAAAATACTGTTTATTTGTGATTTAACATTAATTAGCATTACATCTAAGAGCAATATCAGATAACATTTATACATTTTCCACAGGACACAAGAGGTTCATTGGCTCATTCTTTATGCCAAAGCAAGTAAATAGAGGCATTAGCAAAAGGTGCAAATAGTTCACTGTTGCGTTTAAAAAATATTTATGCACATTGCATTCATTTAAGATATATATATATTTAAAAAGTTATGGAAAAGCATAGTTCACAGGTTACTGTTTCTACATACATTGTAATACAACATAAATGATGTAGAACATAAAAAAAAAAATCCTCAAATACAGAATTGAGCAACTGAAAGTTTCTGCTAAGAGATTAAAACACTGATTCCAGTAGTTAGTGAGATCCAGAATGAAATTTCCAGGCTCTGTTTCAACTTTGCACCGCTGTACACAGAACCAGCCCCAGAGCACAGTGTGATGTGTTATGTGATTTTTACACGCCAACACACCCTCCAGAAACACTTTGGATTCCTTTTACCCACAGACCATTTCGGATCATCGATTTTACATTGATTTGTGACATCACTTGGGTGAAGGGGGAAAAAAAACTATATTAAGTCTAGGTTTAAATTTGTATTTACATTAGAAAGAAAGTTAACTGAAATAAGGTAAGAAAATTTTGTAAAAATCAAGAAGTGGTAGGTGTTCTCGTCGGGGGATTAGACCCACTGATTTCTTCTAGTGTTGCCTTCTAAAGATAGAGAAGTTAAAGGGAAACCAAGAAATACAACGATTTTGGCAGAGAAGCAAGATTTTAGAAATTTGGGACATGTGTCAAATAAACCATGCTTCCAATCCTGTCATGACTATGGGTCTTCCTCAAACTAGAGCTCTTGGCATGACACTGATTTTGTTCCCTTCATTTTTCACTTTCTCTCTTCCCTTTCACTTGTTTACGTTAGCAGACCTTCCTCATTCATTAGCAATACTAAGAGAAAAATACATTATAAGGTTCAAATATGAATCTAGGTATACCTTGAAATGCTCTAATCCCCTTTTGATACCAAGTCCCTGGATTTTTTAATTATACTGAAGTATACTTAGTACCAAGCAGCTTCAAATATGCTCTACTGTTATATGATTGGCTAATGTGCTTATGATGCTGTTATATTGAATGGTATACAAACATCTCAACATACAAAAATCGTTTTTGCCAGAATTAAACTAAATAACCCATGTTACGTGTACAAAATCCCCTTTGTTGAAAAATAAGGGGCTTTCTCAACTAATAAAAAAGGAAGTTTTCAAAAATTATAGTTTACTAAAATGATTTCTTTTTTTGGCAAAGAAAGTTACTTCAGGTGAGGAAGTTTTATACTACGAATAAAATTCCAAATGAATCTTTTCTTAAATTTCTTTAAAAAAATTCTGTGCCAGTGTATACTAATGCTATAGATTCTTAGAAGCTTTTAAAGCGTTCTGTTAATGCCCACTGAAACAATGGGAACCCAAAAGGTACAGTCAATAATCGTGGTAAAAAATTATAATCTGATTACTCAGTGAAGCACATGTTGAGAAATAAAAATTCTCTCACTTGTGCACTGGTATTTTGTTTCCAACAGATATGTGGAGAAGGCCTGAAGCAATTCAGACAGATATCTGTTTGTGGTGAATTATAGCAATACTTCATGAGGGCAGAGCTAACTAAAACTAGCAATTGTTTAAAAATTCAAAACCTTTTTTGGACATATAAAATGAGAGATGAATTTGAAATTTTTTTCATAATATGTTTTTCTTTTAGTAAAATCTCTTTCCAGTTCTTAAAGTCCAGTTTGCTACATACCCCCAGTCTTCTCTACCACTGCATATTAATTATCAACCTAAATATGGTATTTAAATGTGCAATGTCACATTGTAATAGTAACAATTATAAAAAGAGTTTAGTTAGGCTTCAACTTTCTCCTTTTTTTTGTTCTTTTTCAAAAAAGAAGGAGTACGGAACTTCTTCTTTTTCTTAGATGGTGATTTTGAAGGTGAGCCTTCGGGTGACAGGACTTCTTCAATTTTTTCTGGAGACTTAATGGTAATCTCGATGTTCTCTATGGTCGTGCTTGTAGTTAATCTACTCACTTGCTTCGCAAGCTCATCTTCAACGTCATGCATATCATCCTTGCCATTCACCACCATGACAGGCACTTCCGTGCAGATGAAGCTCTTGGAAAACAGCTCATGGTTTTCTACAAAAGGGGAGGGTTGGGTGGTTTTTTTTTTCTGGTTATTTTATACAGTTAACAACTTTGCTTTATTTTACAAAACTGAAATGTTTTAGCAATGTACTAAGGCATGACTTAAAGTTCAATAAAGAGAAATCATTACCTTAAAAGACTATGGATGTATTAGCATGAAGCTAAATTTTCTTAAATAGTATGAAGGGGAAGGGGACAAAGTTGTTAGACCAAGGAACGAAGGCTAGAGAAGTCTGGTTTAATGATCTGACAGTTGCATTGTCAATCAAGTCAGTATAAATGAGAAAGACAGCATGCATTTTTCTTGAATTTGGGGGTCATTTGGCAATCAAAACTGAAAAGATTTCATGCTCCTGATTAGAAGATGTATGACAAACCACTTTTAATTTCACAAATTCTTAAGAACTACCAGTTACCAAAATCTGGATTAAGGTAAATCAACATAAATGCTGAACAAAATTAGCACACCACTTGATTACAAAATATATAAAATTACGGGGAGCTTTCAGTAAAATCCATGGCAAACTCACTGCAATCAGGTGTTCAATTTCCTTACACGAAAACAAACGACAGAGGACAAACTCTTAAGACTGACTCAGGGAACGCTATGGGAAGTTACAGTGAATACCTTCTAATTTTTCAGGGATATTTTGCGGTGACTGAGTTTGAGACTGAATTTGTGAAACAGATGAAGCGTCATCTGAGAGTAATTCCTGTTCAGCATCTGTTGGACGAGAGTTTAGTTAAAAGCCATGCAAAACAAAGAAGCATAAGGTTTCGGGGGGGTTAGTGCATACATCAGACGCCGGCAGACACACGATAAACTCTTCAGCAGTGAGCTGAGCATGCTAACGGCTACCCCATCGATCAATAACTGTGCATTAGGAGGAGGTGAGTGTGTTAACACTTCTGGCTGCTAACAGTGAGGTTACATACATGCTTAATAAGGAAGCATGGTTACAGACAGCCCAGGCAAATAATACGTATGCATTTAGCTTTTGCTAGAGTGTTAGAAAACCAAAATACATTGAGCAGCCAGGTGAAAAGAATTAGGACACCTCACCAATGATGCTACGTTTAAGAGGCAGAGTGCCTCCGAATCTCTGAACAATATCCAATTAGTGATTTCTGTCAGAGTGGTATTAGTGAGCTAATTCAGAAGGCCATAATGAATGTGGAAGAAACTACTTATAAAAAAATAAAAGCTAACGGTTCTAGAGTGCAGTATTTGTTACCTGGCATCTTTAGGCTTTCAAAAAATAAGAGATTAAAGAGGCACATTTTACAAAATAGAAAAATAGAGAAAGTTTCTAACCTTAGCTTAGAAAGGAATAAACAAATCTAATATCACTTAGAATATTTAACATAGTCAAGATGACTCCCTTTTGTGACAATGACACCAGCACACTGATACAAACTGTTCCATGGATGATCTAGATGTCAGTTCTGTCCACAGGGTGTCTAATGTGGACAGAAATTCTTTAACCATGGGTTCTGTTCTGCTTTGGGAAAAAATTTCAACTGTATGTTTTAGATGCTCTAAAGCCGAGGCCCTTACCCTCTTTTGGGGTCACAGATTTCTTACCCCTTGCCCTAAATGCCCCCCTTCCCAGATGTGTATCATACATAATTAAGCACAAGTTTTTCAGATGGCTCCCGAACTGTTGGGAATGTATCCAGAGACGCAAAATCGAGAACCCCTGCTATAGAGAATTTCTTATTCTTGAGAAAAAGGGAGCTAGTATTTAATTAGCTGGGGTTTCATGAACAATTTTTAAATAGAATCCTTACTTAGGGTTCTGAAGTCAGAAAAACTCAACCTCATTAGAGTGCCCATGGACTTAAAGTCACATCAAAATTCTGGCAGTTTGCTTTATATTTTGATTTCAAGATTATATATTGGCACCTTGCGAGGCCCAAAAAGTATTAAAGTCACATAATATATATATTCTATAATGTTTAAATCTCTTACTGTATCTGTATTTAGTAGGGTAATTCTTTACTTATCTGTGCATTTCACTTTACTATAGAAGATTTTTTGCTGGTATCAGACTACTTTCTGAGAAAAACTTTTCTCTACATGTCGACATACATGGACTATGGTGGCTCTTTGCACTTTAGCTCCACCTACACTCGGTAGGTCTGGGGGAGATGACAGGGAACAAGCGACTGTAGAAGGAACATTTAAAAAAAAATACTGAATGCCTTCTATCATCCAACTCAACATGTTCTGCTGTTGGTAGCATGGTTATCAGGCTTAATCTAAAAATGAACGAACCTTCCAGGCCTTGCTGTTTACGCTCGATTGTCTTCTTATACTCTTCAAGCTCTCCTTCCGTGAGATGACTGAAGGGGTTGGGAGGAGGTGGTGGGGCCTGATCGTCGTCTTCAAATTGCATGGTCTTAGAGAAAAGAAAAACATCGACAGATCAGAAGGCACAAAACAGAGCAGAGGGTTCCCAAAATGATAGTGGGAGACAGGCAAGAGGCTGAAGAATTCTCCAGATAAATGAAATGGCCTCAGATAAAAGAACTACAGATATTGACATCTGGGGACTCCCCAGAGAGATAACCGATCATCCTACAGTGACGCTCACTGAATTCCCAAGCTCTGCCCACACCTGGAGCATCAGACTGGCTTTTCAGTGTCCCATTCGTAAATATAAACAGACTATCATGTATTACTAGACACCTGAGGAAAGCTTCCAACATTGAAGAGAAAGATCAGAACAAACAAGAAAAAGGGAACTCAGAAGAAACAAGGACAATAAAGGCAGCTGAAGAAAATTTTAAATTGATTCCCTGAGAACAATAAGAGAAACTATTGTATCCAAGAAAGACTAGGATATTATTTAAAAAAGAAACATTCAAGGAATAAGAAGTCTTAAAATTTTTTAGAAAATATATCAAAATAAAAAATTAAATAGAAGCATGAGAAAATAAAGTCAAACAAATCTCCCAGAGAGTAGGATAAGAAGACAAAAGAGATGTACAGTGGGAAAACCAGCACATCCTGACAGAAAAAGAAATTAGAGGAAAAAAACTACTGAAGAAACATATTTAAAAAATTCCCAGAGGGGCATGTGGGTGGCTCTGTCAGTTAAGCATCCAACTCTTGGTTTCAGCTCACGTTATGATGATCTCATGGTTTGTGAGTTCAAGCTCCACATCAGGGCTGACAATGAGAAGCCAGCTTGGGATTCTCTCTCTGCCCCTCCTCTGAGCATGCTCTCTCTCTCTCAGAAATAAATATATAAACCTTTAAAAAAATAATAAAAAATTCCCAGAACTGAAGGATATGACTTGGCAGATTGAAAAGGGTTACTAAATGCTAAGAACAAAGACTAAAAGAAACCTACTAAAGGGGCTCCTGGGTGGCGCAGTTGGTTAATTAAGTGTCCGGGTTCAGCTCAGGTCATGATCTTGTGGTTCATGAGTTGGAGCCCCGTGCTGACAGCTCAGAGCCTGGAGCCTGCTTCAAATTCTGTGTCTCCCTCTCTCTCTGCCCCTCTCCTGCTCACACTCTGTCTCTCTCTCTCTCTCTCAAAAAATAAACATTAAAAAAAATTTAAAAAAAAGAAACCTACTACAAAGCACATCATTGTAAAATTGCAGAACAGCAGGGATGCAGAAAAGGTGTAAAAGAATAGAAAAGGGACCTATACAAAGTCACATGAATCACAACGCTCCTCCATCTCACCAGTAACAAGGAGTTAGCAGACAGCGGACTGGTGTTTTTCATATTTTTGAGGTAAATTATTTCTAAACTAGAATTCTCAGTCTATCATTTAAACTTTGAGGGTAGAATACAGAATTTCAGACTGTTACCTCCGATGAATCTTTTCTCAGAAAGCTATTAGAGGATGTGCTCAATGACAGAGGGGGAAATCAAGAACCTGGAAGACACAAGGCAGGAAACAGGAGACAGTACACAGGCAAGAGGCAGAGGAAACCCCCAGGATGAGCCCGTGCCGCTGGCCTGAAGAGTCACCAGTCCACATCTGGGCTGGAATGACAGAGCAATGAGAGATTATCTGTTGCCCTTGATCCTTTGGAAAGTAATATTAAGAGCTTTATAGTTCTTCCCAAACTCTTAAGCCAATGTACCCAAAACACTAAGCCAATGAAAAACATAGGCAATTATTAACTCTAGGAAGAGGAAAGTAGAATAAGAAAGGAAATGTAATCATGGGATACTACCTAGCTGACCAGTAAACACTTAATACTGTGAACACTGACAGCGGATTTAACAAAGAAATTGTAATATAATCTTTCCCCAACATTTTTTCATCTCTGAAATCTGGACTCATCCAATAATTGATGACTTCCTACAATTATAACGGTCAGGGTTTTTTCTGTTAGTCATCTACAAAATAATGGTACTTCTTGGAGTTGTTGACATAAATTCGATGAAGTCAGCTGAGGTCTAAAATTGACAGGCCAAGAAAAAGCAGAACAAAGAAGCTCTTTAGAAACATGAAGGTAAAAACTAGAAGAAAGTCCTTGCCCCTGGAAATTGGGAGCTGAATGTGACATTTCATTTTAAGTCTTGCAATTATTTGACTTTTTAACTTGTGCTTATATTAACATTAGTAAAAATAAATATTCATATTTAAAAAGCAAAGAAATTAATGTAGTAGATCAAAACCAAAGAGCATATGGTTTCATGGACTTACAGAAGGGGGCTTGTCTACAACAATTCCAGCAAGCAACTGAGATTGTGGTCCAGCTGTTTTCAAGTCATACCGGTTTTGTTCTCGAATCTGAATGAAACACAGTAACAAGTTCTTGGGGGCAACTATGCAGATAGCTGATTCTTCCTCTCTTTTCCCACAGGCTTGCTACTGGACCACCCAGAGCCTCTTTCGTTCGTGCCTCTAAAAAGCTCTCTCCTCCCATCCCAACAACTCACATTCATCTCCTCCACTCTCCTTGATGTGTGATTTCTGATGGTCTTGTGTGGTTGGAGAATTACATTTTCCACTAACACTAGGGCTTACTATTCACTAATATAGGAGCAATATGTTTAATACTTCTTCCCCGTGGAGCTCGTTCACCAGTGACTACCACAGAGCTGGAGTGTTCAATACAAGCTAACATACTGAGTTTCAGGATGTCTGGTGGCTCAGTTGGTTGAGCGTCCGACTCTTAATTTCGGTTCAGGTCATGATCTTGCGGTTCATGAGATTGAGCTCCATGTTGAATCTGTGCTGACAGTGCAGAGCTGGCTTGGGATTCTCTGTCTCTCCTTCTCTCTGCCCCTCCCTCTCTTGCATGTGCATGCTTCCACCCCCAAATAAATAAATGCACTCATTAAAAAATTATACTGCTTTTCAAATTCTTCTGTATTCACACCCCCTAAGCTTGGTATTAATCAGATTTAATCACATAAAACAGTATAAAAATGCCTCCCCCAGCCACAGATGACCACATCTTACCTTATTTCTCTTTTCTAGTACCTCATTCGGGTTTGTGTTTAAAGGAACAAACTGATTTGGATCTTCAATTTTGATAGGTGTTCCGCTACTAACTTTAGAAGAGTCCTCTGCTCTCATCCACTAAAAAATAAAAAATTTTCTAGAATGAAGCCTTGTGTTAAGGAAGTATGGTAGGTTCTTGGTAACTGTTTACTGGCTCAAGGAGGGGGACGATATGCTGCCAATACTCTAAAGAATTTCACTAAGAGGTATTTAGTGGTCAATTACTGTATAACTCATATTAGTTAGAAAAAGTCTCATGATCAGCACTCACTTAAAAAATGTGATTACTATTCACATGAATATTCATTTATATGACTATTTAAATTTTCTCCTTTTGGCATTTTCAAATAGGCTGCTGGAAATGTTCCAAGCATAGATACAGAGTCTGATTTCTTATTAACTCATGCTCAGAGCTGTTACCTGCACTGAAGTTTCATCAGCTGATGATGGCTAAGTCACCAAAAATGACTCAAGGAATCTCTTCAGATTTAGTTTTCTAGACTTCATTCTTCTATTTTTGGCTGCCAGAACAGGCCAATCCCCTGACCAGCATTTTACAAAGTGGGTAATCTGGTAGTAATCCATAATATAACAGAACTATAGAGATGGAAACGCCTTTTATTTTCTTCTTTACCCCTTATTATATCCTTTAAAGAAGCCTAATATTCATCAAGATCAATAATGGCTGGCCATCAGTCTTCATCAATAAAATTCTGGGTAACTTAGGAGTTGAATTACCTACTTTTACTAGGAGATAAGAAATCTTATAGACTAGGGAAAAACACTTTGATGTCTAGGCACTTCCATAGTGAATGTTACTGATTCATATGATAGGATAAACTGATTTTGAGTAACTAGAGAATATTCGGCGATCAGCACTCTGAAACTAAACCAAATCTGAAGCAAAATGTTGAAAAAGGTAAGACAACCCATTTCTCACTCTAATATTTTGCTAAGGATAACTATATGCAGTAATTCATGAAACTCTGGAACTATTACGTGTCAGTAACTTTTATGATTAACTGTTACAATACAAACTGCGAAGCACTACCAAGTAGTGGATTAAGAACTGGGCTCCAGAGTCACTGGATGCATTCAAATCTTGACTTTATTATTCACAAATGATTAGTCAATCCCTCTGTGCCTCAGTTTTCGCATCTATGAAACAAGGTTTCGAGAAAAACCGCATCCTCTCCATACTGAGAGTATTAAATGAGATAATTCATTTAAGTCACATGAAACAAAGTTTATACCTGATAAATGACAGGCTGGTATTATTATATTCTGCTCTCCTAAAATTTTTAAACATAGAACATCCAATTCATAAGTAACTAGGCAAAACATTTAGTAGACGCAAACCACATAAAAGAGCACCATACTGTGATTTTGGTCCTGGGACTGGTCTCCCCATTCCGAGACTCCTCGGGCACGTTCACTTTCATGTAAGTATTTGGTGAGTTCAGCCATCTGGTTTTTTCACGCTGCTGTCTCTGTGCCATGTACTTGAGAGGAGAGAGTGGCACCGTGTCATCCTCAAAGGAAAAAGCGGTCACAGTTGCTGGGATTTCCACATCACTCTTGTGCCTAGGCTTCTCTCGAATGAGTGGATGCCTATAAGCATAGCCTGTTCTATATCCCTAAGGGAGCAAAAAAACCGCATTTGAAATAATCAAACATGAACCAAACACAGCATTTGGACTCTTAATTCTTTAAACAAATGATCAAAAAGACTCTTTTGCTGAAAAACAGACAAAGAGGAAAATATCTGTCAAACCTCACGTAACCTCCATATAACACTAGAGTTGAAATTAAGCAAATTTCAAGATCTGGTTAAAACGGATTCCAGCTGACAATGTGATTTCCACTCACACAACTGTTCCTGACAAAGGTAATTTCAAAACTGCTGACCAGAAACATTTTCCTAGCTATTTTCCAGTTTTCTGAAAGCCAAATCTCAGTGCTCATTTAAATCTTTGCTCCTCAGTCTGAAGGCAATCTTCTTCTGACCCGTAGTGGAAGAAGGTAAAATCTAAAGTAAGACAACATTTGCATGTTTCACTGCTTGATTCTGAAAAATGTGGTAAAATTACACTGGAATGGCTTCCTAGAGTCAAACTCAGTTCCCAGAGGCATAAGCATGTTCCCAGACCATAGGGAGATGAAAGCATTTGCTCTTGAATTTGAAGACATGAAATCCAAGTTTATGTTCAAGTTTTCACCTACCAAATTATCCAGAGTCCTCATAAGCCCTTCAAACTCAATCTCGCCAACCTTCCATTTTTGATGGGAGCCCATATTCACTCCTCCTCCTCCAGATGTTGCTACAGCATGAGTGAAAGGTTTATACTTTTGAAGATCCAGCACAAGCAAATTGTCTACTCCACCTGCCCCTGCTAATGCCTTCACCTGTAATCGATGGCAAAATATAGAGGCACAAGACTGTAAAAGATTATAATGAATATTTCACCTCTAAAAAGGCATGATTTCAATTCAGCAAATACCTGTAACACTTGGTCAGGCTACTAACAACAGGAATAAAGCAATATACTTGTGAAAATAGGCAGCTGAAGTATCTTTTCCATTGATCTGAAAAAGATACCTTCCAGGCTTCTGATCCTCCCTGATGGAAAACACATTTAGAGCCATTCTTTTTAACATATTGCAAGAAACTGAATTCTCTTGCCAAATTTTAAAGTTATCTTGCAGTTTTCCCATGGCTATCCATTTTTTTTCCTGAAAGTTATAATTTTAAAGGAATATAGACACTACACCATGAAGTTAAGGATATTTAGGCAGAAGCAGCTCATCATCTTAATTTCATTAAGCTTTTCACAGTTTCCTTTGAGAAGAGAAGGGACTGCTAGAGAAAAAAATGTTGGCTGTTAAGACATTAAAACACAACAGACAGAAAAGATTTTTCTCCTTTTCTGTGGCCCTTCCAATAAATTAAGATTATTACCATTTGCTTCAAGAGAATCTTCTTGAAGAGGGAAATTAGGTCTGTTAAAAATACATTCAGCTTCTCAGAGGAAAAAAGTGGTTAATAAATAGCCAACCTATTATAATAAGGTTGAGGCCATGGAATTGTTGGAAACTGCAGGAGCTTGTAAAACTCTGGCTCTGCTCTTGCAATTTTTATAAAAGTGGCTATAATACATTTGATCTTTGATGACGGATGGTTGACTCTGTTTCTAATTAGTATGACCACAACCACTACAGGGTAGAAACAGAGACAATTACAATTAAGCAGGATATGAGGAAAATGATGTTTATGAGCCACTCAGATGTGTGTGTGTGTGTGTGTGTGTCTATATGAGAATTTAAATTTTTTTCCTGTTTTCAATTCAAAGATAACTGAGTTGATCCCCCTTTTTAAAAAACCTTGATGTTTATTTTTGAAAGAGAGAGACAGAGGGGGAAGCAGGGGAGGGACAGAGTGAGAGGGAGACACAGAATCTGAAGCAGTCTTTAGACTCCGAGCTGTCAGCACAGAGCCTGATGCAGGGCTCGAACTCATGGACCATGAGATCATGACCTGAATCAAAGTCAGATGCCTAACTGACTGAGCCACCCAGGTGTCCAAGTTGACCCTTTTTATTCTAGTAAAGCAGATCCCTTAAAGGACAAAACAAAAAGCCACCAATAAGACTCTGAAAATAAATAACACAAAACCCAACTCAATACGCAAATTACAATAAAAAACAAGTATGTAGGGGGATAACTTTCCTACCTGAATCTCACAGGCCATCTGCACATTAAATATATAATGAAAAGCCTCCTCGAGTGTTTCTCCAAGGGCTACCACACCATGGTTTCTGAGCACCAGAACCTAAAATAGAATCACAAAGCAATCACTTTAAATAACTGGCATAGCTCACACTGTTTTCATCAACAGCAACAGCAACAAAAATAGCTCCTTTGATAGAAACTCTACTGCATACCTTACAACTTGGCCCCAGAACTTTCTGCAGTTGAATTCTCTCCTCCTGTTCATCAAGTGACCCTTGGTAGTCATAATAGGCAACATCTCCCAGCAAGAGGGACTCTTGAGAAATTGGAAGGATCCCGCACTTCATGGAGGATACCTATTTGATTGGGTCCATGTCAAAAGAACACATTTAGTTACTAGTTACACTTTCCCAGGAACCTGATTCTTTAGTCAGCTCAGGAAGCACTGGCCTAATTCACTGAGTTCACCATTCCCACCCATCTCTCACTTTAGCTTTTCAGTTCTTCTGGAAAGAAAAAAAAAGGGACTTGGGGATACAACTCAAATGTTGTGCCGAATATTATGAAAGAAACTTTACTCCAAAGAACTCAGAACCCAATTATTAGCTGATTAGTGAAAAATGCAAATGCTATTTCTCTGGTTGTTTCCTATTATGTCAGCATTTGGTCCAAAGGAAATTTTGCTTTTTGGGTATGCAGAGGATTAATATTTCCACTATAATACACTTCCCAGAGCCATTGCTGGCTTTAGCCTTCAGTGACTTACAGCTGCTGTTTCAAGGGTATGGATGTGTATCACACACTTAACATCAGGACGTGTTGAATAGATCGCAGCATGGGGACTGAAGCCTGTATGGTCAGTTTTCAAATTAGTACTTCCCTGATCAACCACTTCTCCTATGATGTTGACCTTCACCTGGAAAAACCAGAGAGACATATTTAATTAGTACACATGTATCAAAGTTCGCCTGTGATCCACAAACTAAACTGGAGGATGGGAGCAACCTTTTTTGTCAAAGGCCAAAGAGTCAGTATTTTAGACTTTGTGGGCCTCTGATACAACTACTCAATTCTGCCACTTGATGTAGGGCCACTCAGAACTGTGGAAGAATGGAGGAATGGATGTGGCTTTGTTCCCATAAAACTTTATTTATAAAAACAGGTAGTCTGCAATAAAACTTAGAATTTAGTAAGTAGTTTCCAAAACACCAAATAACTTAAACTCTTCACTGAAAGTCTGAACAAGTCCGGTGTTTACTGAATTGGCTGGAAAACTTCCATTCGCTGACACTGTAGCTCCCAGAACCAATGGAGTTCCTCTCATCCCAGAGCCCAATGGCAGTGCCTCTGAGCACAATCATGGGAAATAAACTGCTACACAGACAGCTGCTCTGCTCACACCAACTGAACTCTACTGAAATCTATTTGTCAAATACAATAGACTTTGTGTGTGTTTTTAAAAAGTTCCAGAGTGTACAGGGTGGAAAAAAGTCAAAAGATTCCCTTCAAAACATGGATAGTTCACTGATAAGACCAAGCTAATTAGTCTCTTCAACTACCTTGTTTTTCTTGACCTTGAAAGCTTTTCTTAAAAATCAACATAACTTGGGGTGCCTGGGTGGCTCAGTCAGTTATGTGGCTGACTACAGTGCAGGTCATGATCTCACATTTTGTGAGTTTGGGCCCTGCATTGGGCTCTGTGCTGACAGCTCAGAGACTGGAGCCTGCTTCGGATTCTGTGTCTCCCTCTCTCTCTGCTGCCCCCCACTCACACTCTCTGTCTTTCAAAAATAAATAAACGTTAAAAAAAATTTTTTTTTTTAAAATCTACATAACCTTCCAAGCTCCTGTTCATTAAGAAATGTTTTTTCCATCTATACCTTTTCTTGTTCTGTCCTGTACTAAAAGCTGAAAACTGTTAGAAAAGGACAAAGAAGCACAGATTAAGTAACATAGGAATGAAAATTATACCAAGTTGGAGGCTGTGGCTTCAGAAAAAGACAGGCCTCTAGGAATTATTATTATGTGGTCTTGCTCCTTACTTATTCTTACCTGGGAGAAAGAAAACAAACAGACAATAGACAATTACTATGAGGTTGTTCATATTTTGCAGTGTAAACACGACTAGGAATATACTTGTAGTGAAGAACTGTAAGAGATCTGGGAGGGGGGAAAGCAGCAAAGTAGAAAATTAAAGGTGTGCAACAGGAACTTTCCCTGAAAAGTTTTCTTCCTTCAATACTCAAGCACTTGCTAAAAAGTTCTGACATTAGTTTCTTATTTACTGGACTTCCCTGAAGCGTTATCCGGGGAGTTCTAAGGCTGCTTAGGGTCAGCTATATCAATGAGAAAATATTAACTGAATGCGGTAATGGCTATAATCTCGATTTACAACATGGAAATGAAGGAGAGAGAAGTCTTCCTGGGAAGGCAGGAAGGAGGTGGGGACGGAAGGGGAAACATGGGGGAGGCTGGGAGGGAAGAAGAGCTCTGGGAAGACAGCACCCTGCACCGGCACCACTTCCATTACAGTATTTTCGTACATTTTTGCTTCCAAATATTGTCTGCTTTCCAAGTGTGATAACATGAAAGCACAGATGATAATGAATGGGAAAAATACACTTAAAGAGAATAAGGACCAGGAAGGAAACTTCCCTGACCCCTCGACTTTGCCTGCTCCAAGTGCTTTTCGGTGACCCTCATGCTCATACAGAATTAACACGGAGAGAGAAACTGCCAAAAGGATTTCTTTTCTGACGGTTTCCGCAACTGGTCTGAACTAAAGAGACAAGATAGACAGTAAATGGAGGAGAAAGCCAGGCTAACCACAGCCTCTCCTTTGGAGAGAAGGTTTATATCAGGACTAGGTTGTAACTTAACATGCTAGGTTCAGAAAATGAAGTCTGACCAGACTTAGGAGTCACGGGGAGGAGCGAACAGCTGCTTTCTCGGGAGGGACATTTTTAAAAAAAGGAAATGAAAGCCGAAGAACTCACAGAGATGTAGGCATTTGCCAGGTGTGCCCATCCAAACAAGTCCACGAGTCTGTACAGGCTGGCAAGCTTACAGCGAGTAAGCTTCTCTCCCTTCACGTAGGAGGACGTGTCTGCCCCAGGGAGGTCATTGATAGGTGTGACCATTCCGAGACCTACAAGGAGAAGGTGTGGAGAGAGGTTTCAAGTCAAGCACTGCCGTACCTGGAAGCAGCCGAGTCTGGGAGTGTCCCAGCCTTGTATATACGGATGTGCCCTGTGCCCGCACAGTGTTGCATTAGCTTATCTTCCTTGGGAGAAATGCGCATCAGCAATCTTCTCTACCGTTTCGTTTCGTCTAGTGCCGTACTTGTGGGGGAGGGACTTGGTAGGGAGTCAGGTTCACACCACTGAGGACAAATGGTCACATGATCCCAATGGTGAAAGTGTTCTTAATCCTGAGGTTACTGCTAATTTTATGATGAAAAGATCTCAACAGAATGCTACTTTTCTAACAGCTCTTTTGACTTTCATGCAGACAAAAATTAGTTAAAATGGAAAAGAAGGCATTCAAACCACAGCGTGCCTCTGTTGTCCTTAAGCAACAAAACCTAAGTCTTGGGCTTTCGTGACCCAATTGCTAACTTCAGATGTGATCAACTTCTGCTTTACTTAGTCTTTGTTCTCCCTGACACCGTTCGTCACGTCTTCCCTGGAGTTCGTCCACAGGCCTGTGTGGCACCATCTGGATCCCTTGTTCCCCTTTCACCTGCTGCTTCTTTCTCCTTCGGCCCTTTCTCCTATCTGTGGCCTCTTCCCGAAGCTGGGTCCTCCACTACGCTCCTCTCTCTTGTTCCTTTTCTCCATGAAAGCACTGCAGACTCAGACACCCTCTCTTTACCTGTGAGCAGGCCTTCCTGCCCCGCTTCTGCCTGCTGCTTCTAACTGCCTGCAACACAATAAGATACAAATTAAGAGTAGAAAGTGATTTTTATCTCCCTGCTTTTGCTCACCTTCTCATTTCTCCTCAGTGTTCTGATATTGATGGTACTACAATTCCCACAGGATGAAACACGAAGTAACCTTTCCTTCTTAACTTGTCCTGAGCGATCAGATGTAATTTGTCACCATGTTCCACCACCCTCTTCTTTTGAGTTCCCTCATTTTCCATCCTCGAGTTCAGGCCTCACCTCACACGTAATGCTTGCAATAAGCCTTCTCCTTGTCCTTGCCTTTGGCCATTCCACATAAAGCCCTCAGATTGAGTTTGAAAAGCAACACCTTTAGTCTCACTACTCCCCTGCTCGAAGTTCTGCAGAAGCCCCAACCCTGAAGGCCTACAAGGGGCCAAGAAATCCATGTAAGTGCATAAACCGGGCCTGAAGCTTGTAGGCCTGTAGGCCACTAGAAACGTCACCGGCCTGGGCTGAAGGGGTGGCTATGACTCCACAATCAGCTGCTACCGTGTGAGAATCTGAGTTCAGGGCTGTCAGAAAGTTTAAACTTTAAACTTGGGCCCCAAGTCAACACTCTGATGGGAGATCTACTCATGGAATGTTGTGAACTAATTCAAAGAAATAGTTTCAACATGTAAGCCATACGAAACAATGTAATTTCTAACAAAATTTCAGTCAGCCATTTAACGGATCTCCCACTTTACTCGTCAACTTTAACTTCCACTTTCCACAACACAGTATCAATTTACCAGCCAAACTCGCTCACTCGTTTCTATTCCCTGACCTCTGAGCTGTGGGACACAGCTTTCCGGCTGCCATGGCTTTGTACCTTCCAGGCAGCAACCTCAGCGGCTCCCCCTTCCTGCTGTGTTATCTAGGACATGCACAGGATAGCTCCTCTTATTTTGGCCTTCCCAAACCAGTGTTCCTCTTCTAACTCTTGAAAATTTTCTCTTTAGGCCCTTCTCTTCTCTGCCTATACCCTCCTGTATGATTTAATCTACACACACAGCCCTGAAGAATACTTCTCCATATCATCTGCTAAGTCACCCTCTTAGGCTCTAGGACTGTATTTCAAACTGCTGCAGTGTCTTGGCAACTGTGGGCAACCCTGGCATGCCTCAAGTTCAACTTCCTCCATTTCCCAAGCCAAAGCGATCCCCAACTCGGGACCTTCCTATTTCTGTCTACCAATAACACCATGAAATTTCTCAGTTAATTCTTCACACAGAAACTACTGAGATCTTTCTATATCACTCTCCTGCTTAAAATGGCTTTTCAAAGTTAGAATAGAATCCAAATGTCCATCCCTAGCCACGAAGCCATACTTGATTCAGCCTCTCTGCCTGTTTTTGACCTCACTTTGTTCTACTGGTTTTCCCCAAACCATGCTCCAGACCATAATCTTTACCTTTTGCTCCTTGAAGAGACCGCCAAATTCATTCTCCTCTTATTTCCATCTGACACTTTTATTTGTTCCTTCCACCTGGACTGTTTTCTCTCGATCTTGGTATAGTTTACTCCTTCTTGCATATTCAGATTTCAGTTTAAATGTCCCTTCCTCAGAGAGATTCTCTCTGATCACCTTAATCTAGTCATCTAGCTCCTCCTATCAAATCACCATTTATTAATTATCTGCATAGCATTGGTTATTATCTGACCATTTTATTTAGTCTGTTTTCTGTCTCCACAAGGGCAAGAATCTTGTCTGTCTTGTTTATCCGTCTATCTCCCATCTCTAACTGGGTGCTTGGAACATAAAAGATACTCAATATTACAGAAAGAGCAAAAAACAAACAAACAAATAACTAGCTCAACCTTTGAATTTTTCTGATAGAACGTTTCTTCCAAGCTAGAAGAGTGATTTCGGAACTCACAATTCTTCTCCCCCACTATCTGCACAATATTCCCCACAGCAAACTGTTACTAAGTCTTTTCTACTCTTCCTTGGTTACGCCTTTCTCATTGATCTCTTCCTTTTAGTTCAAGCACTTATACCTCACTAGTATATATGTGCTGACATACCGGTCCACTTTGAGTTCTACAAACATACCCTTAACCCAGCATGTTTTCAACATCATATCTCAATTGTTATGCCATTCCTCTATTTGGAAGTACTTGAATTTACTGACTCCTACTTATAAATCTTTAACCAAACCAAACCAAAACCAAAGAAAGGCAGAAATGAAGGAAGGAAAACAAAAGAAAACAAAAAAGAGGAAAAGAAAATCCCTTAATGCTGACATGACGTCTCATCCCTTGACTTGGACCCGAAGCAGTCCCTGACAGTACCTTCTGGCACTCTGTGCCTGTCCTGGTATTGCAGGGAGTTCTATACAGATCTTGCTGAGATATGAAGTACTTAGTGTTCAGCTCACCAAACTGGTGCTCTTACTAAAGAGCTGTTACATGTCCTAACCCCTAAAAATGTCCTAACCCCTCTTTTACACCAAATTCTAACCACTCCATCCTGGCTAGTTCAGGCTTCTCTTTTTCAGAGTTTTCACAGTCCACTTCAACTAATAATCAATTCCAACTCTCAGTTCATAGCGTGACTTATAAAAGGGTATTGGACAATTTCTTATGAACTGCTTTGTAATTTTTTCTTTTATAGTTATCTTGCAGTTTTTTTTTTTTTTTTTTGCATTCATGGTAGGTCTCCTCAACTAAAATCACTCATTTATATAGGACAGGGCTCATGTCTTGTAACTATTTTACTATCTCACAAAGTCTAGTAAATGGCTGGTTGATAACAAAAGGTAAGGGAGTTTAACACTATGTTACTCCAAGTATTGGATGTTGTAAACTTAAGGACTGAACCAGAGTAGAATACACTGCTAGAGATGGGCAGGGTTCAAAGTAGAGATAAAATTATACTTTTTAAAACTTTTCAAAACTGACGTACTGAGAGGAGGGGAAGTAAAGCCCGAGAAAGAATTGGTCGTGATGTAATCTGCGATTTGCTGTAATGCCAGCAATCCAGTTGGGTTGTGGCCTTTCTTCATCTGTTCTTGGATAAGGCATTCCAGGTCTTCCCGAAAGGCCTGTAACACACAAAAATAACCACTGAGTTCATACATCTCAATTGGAGAAGAACAACCCAAACATAACTTTCTCTATAATCAGCCTTTTCCCCATTCCTCTTTTGAATAAGGTTTCATCTACACTATTTTAAGACAAATATAACATATAAAATAACAAAACAGTGGAAGAAGGAAGCAAGAAGCTTGCCTTCAGGAGAAAAAAATCATTAGGAAGTCTTCCTTTCATAGAAAACGAGCTACTATATAATCTACAACAGATATATATAAAGCAACTCTGTTAACAATATGGAAGTACAGTACCAAGTACAGACTATTGCAAAGAGAGAGGCATTCCTTGCCCGGTGGCCTCATTATCTAGGTTGGGCTAGAGTCCCTGTTTGGATGGGGCAAGGCTGACTATAAACGGACTCACAGAGGTCTTCACTAAGACATACTATGTACACCACCGCTTCCATTTTAAGAATTCCATGGTGATTCCCTGAGCTCTACAAACATTGAAAGCAAACTGATAAGGGCTGAGAGCTGTTTACTCCCCTTTTGCAAGACTGTGCTAAAGAAAGGACATTTCCCCCAACTCTGGGTACCATATGTTCCTTTCTGGACTTCTACTCTATCTCTTCCTTTGGGGGCATATGTGTATGTGTCAGAAACGGTGTTCGCATCAGTAAAAATTCCGAACATTACGAGAAATTCTCTATTCTGGTAACCCTTCAGTTGCTAATATGATTCATCATTCAAAACCTGTCTCAATCCTTCTCACATTATTTGAAATAGCTCATTTTTTATTTCCGGAACACCTAACCAATACTTACTTTATTAAATTCATCATTTGTTTTCTTGCTCAAACCTTTTGTCATTCATTTTAAACAAAAGCGTTCGCAACATTAAGTCCTCTAAACCTTGCTCTTGGTTACATGTGAAACAGAATGCCATGCCAGAAATTAAAACTGTTCAAATTTTAACCACTTCACCTAAGAGGAAGAAGGCAGAAAACTGCTCTGGAATCACTACCTTCAACAGGAGTCCACACGAACACCCTGGAGATCACTGGAGAAATCTTTCTCAGAAGGGTGAATTTCCTTTCAGTCACCAACAGTAGCCTTCCTTGTAAGGCTGAGAATAAGATCCCCTGGAGTACCTGCTTAGATGTAGACTTGCATTGTGGATGGCTGAATGACAGAGATTTTCAGAAAGGACTTCTTTAAAAAAAAAAAAAAAAAAAAAAAAGGCCTAGGAGCCCATGATGGAAGGGGAGATGTGGTTTGAGGCTATGAGGCAGTAAATATCAGGATGAGTCCTGACTCAGTGCTTGCACTGCTTTTAAAGCAACAGTTGAGGCATCTTAACTGAAAAGTTAAGATCTTAACTGAAAGAGCTGAGTGCGAAAAGCTATAATCTTGGGAGCCCAATCATGGGGCACCACAGAACACCCTAACTGAGCTCAGCACAGTAAGAGGGAGAGGGAGGTCATCCTTCCCTGATGCACCATGGCAGCCTGTGCAGACATCTGTATCAGCAGTGAACCTGCGTCTTCTGTTGGACAGGGTAAGACTGGTTTTCAACACCATTACCATGTGGGCAGGAAGGCACAGTGGCTGTGGTGGTCTGAAGAAACTTTAGCATGACTCACGTGTGCACACGTGGACATATGTACACCCAACCTCTTGGATGTAGAAGTCACTGATGAACCCTTTTGGACTGTGTAAGCCACTGAGGTTCTTGGGACAACTTAAAGGAGAGTAGGAATTCCAAAAGGAAGATATTGTACTTTCTGCTAATACAGCAGGTGGATGTTTAAGTGACTAACTTAAAAAATACTAGTGACCACATTTGAATCCTGAGTTTATGGAGCAGTTTATACCAGTTAAACATCATTTTTCTTTTACAAATTTGACAGTTGTTCAATGTAAATCATTAGCACAGTTATAAAAATCCTAAACATCTGGGGTGCCTGGGTGGTTCAGCTGGTTGAATTCCCGACTATGGCTCAGGTCATGATCTCAGGATTGAGTTTGAGTCCCACACCGGGCTCGCTGCTTTCAGTGTAGAGCCCACTTCAGATCATCTTGTCCCCCTCTCTCTCTCTCTGCCTTTCCCTTGCTCCTGCCCTCTCAAAAATAAACAAACATTAAAACAAAATTCTAAACATCTAAGTCCATTGACTGTACTTAGTTTAATTAAATATATGATTTAAACCAGAGACACTATCCTATAAGATATCCTCTACAAAGATACATTGAATTGATCAGAAAACTCCATTAATACATTTCTAAGACTTAGTGAACATAAAATGGTTGTGAGCTATATATAAGATGGATGGACACTTTCATACAGATGAGTAACAGGAGTATTGTACCACAGTTAAGGCTGAAAGGAGAAGAATCTTTCAGATACACTGATTTATCTCTTATAAGCTATAGAAAACTTCTGGATACCTGGCAATGGGCCAATCTGCTCTTTTGAAACTTTATTTTTCCTTCAAAATCATATTCTGTTTGAACTTTCTTCAGCTGAAAGCAGCTATAACCAATATTCATTCCATAAAAAAAAAATTTGACACCTATGATGTGTATCACTCATTATTTACATTGCAATAACTCTGAGAAATGGGAATATTTTATCGAATGCCCCACTTCATGTTGTCCCAGGAAGAATTTAAGGCAGATTCTACAGACTAAAATTATAAAAAAGATATATATAGATTAATTAAGCCAAAGAGAAGACACAGTATAAGGAGGTTAGTTTGCGCCAGCAATGAGATTAAGATACGAAGTTCATGTTATAAAACTATAGGCATTTGCTAGAGACTAGCCAAATTTTATCTAAACTCTCTAGCAGCCAACATGAATTAAGATAATCTGCTCAGTACGCTGATTTACAATGGCTTTAAGATTAAAAACCAACCAGTTGCTCAAGAGAATCACAACTATTTATGAGCTAATGAGACATTTTTGCTGAGTGGAATGAGAAAGCTAAATAAGAAAGGCTGAAGAATTTGTCAAAGGCAGTAAGTATTAAAGGCAAGACCTCAGGTCAAATGCTATTTTCACTAGTGAAAATGCTTTTACCACTTCCATACATCCCACAATATGGTGGGCACCATCCTAAAGCTTTGGGATGATCCATGGTATCATAGGGGGATGTGTAAGCCCTCCCTTCTAAAATCAATTCAGAGAAAAATATGAATTTAGCTTCTACAAAGTGTGGGAAAATAATTTTCAAAGTAAATGAAATTTCCCTAGCTTTTTATACAGTTGAAAGTGCTTCAGAGGTAAGAATTCTTCTATTACAAAAGATTTAATATTTTTTGTCATGAACACTTATTTTTAATAAACATTTCTAATGTTTCAAATATTTTTGGAATATTATTCAGATAATTACCTCAGTCATAAGACAGTGTAAAAATTAATAATGATAAAATGTCAGCAGGTTTTAAAAATTTATCTATAAACATGTTAAGCTTTAAAATAATGTATTCAAAGCATAAAAATTTTATTTATCTTTATGACGACAGTTAATCATACTCTGAAATCCAATATTAATAAAATAACCCTTTTAGTTATCCATTTGAATCTCACAACAAAGTCCTGAGATAGGCAATGATTTGCTCAAGGCTGCACAGCTAACAAGTAAATGGAGTAAAGGTTGAAATCTGGAACTCTCAGTGAGGCATAGGATATTTCCATAATTTTATGGGAGATGGGTTGCATCACTGAAACCAAATATAAGTAATAAGGCAGCAGGTGTGTTGTGATCAGAAATACAGAGTAAACCTCTTAGGCTAGATTAGAGCATTAGGTTATAATGAGAGAGCAAAAAATTACATAGCAGATTAGGATGGTCCTCAAGTACCAAAATACTTAACAGCTGGAAATTTTTCCATCAAAGCAGAATGAAAAACTAACTTATACATAGGGCAGCAAGGTTACACACTTGGCTTCTAAATCCAACAATTCCCTAGAACATCCACTACAGAAGAGTCAGGGTAAAAGATAAACAACATACATACAACCACAGCATGAACCATGTCTTCCATCTTAGATACAGAAGAGCAGAGCAGAGGAGGCAGCGGGAGTTGTTACACCCTGAATGCATGAATACATGAACGTGAATAAACCAGACTGCCATTAGGAGGATAGATTCTCTGAGGCCTTCAAAAAACCAAAATACAGTCTAAGGAATTTTAATTACATAATCTTCAAACTGCTGTCATAAACTGTACATGTATATACAGTTATGTATACAAATCGTTATATATACAATTTTCACAAAAACACTTGCCTACTATGGGCTAGGCACTGCACAACTTGCTTTTATGTTATTTCATCTAATTGTCACAACTCCACGGGGTCCATTTTACCCACAAGGAAGCTGAAGCTCAAGTGAGTTCTGCATGTCACATAACTAATACATGGTGGTGAACCCAGATCCAAAGCAAGCACTGTGTGCGTGTATATGTAGATATCAAAACATTTGCATAAACAGATTAGAACTGGAAATGATGAGAAAATGGGCTGACCCTTTAGGTCAAGCATCTGGTACTCCAGGATCTCTCTAATTCATCATATAACTTTTTGGCTGTATCTACTGTTACTACCTTGTGCTCTGATTTAGCATATAAGGTTTGCTCATCACTCTCTGATTACAGCCATACTTTCTATCCCTGCTCTCACTCTATTTCATCAAAGAGAAATGCTGGCTTCCACTGTTCCTCTACCTAATCATTCTTAACCTTTATCTAATACTTGTCTTAAATGTGATCTTCCTGAAGTCTCTCCTTTAATCATCCCAAATAGGTGGGATCTCCAATTTCTTCTTTTCCCACCCAACTCTAATTCTTTTAACATTTGCCTTTACTACACTTAAGATACCTATCGTAGGACTGTGATTTACTTTTCCCACTCCACTACGCTATGATTATCTGATGGTTGAAGCTGTTGTCTCTCACAATTCCTAGGGTCTCCCTGAGGGTCTAGTGCAGTGCTCAATTAACAAAATAGTAAAGTGAGAGTATTTTTCTTTCCTAGAATATAAGGAAAGAAAGTAAAGAATCTGATCTCAATCTTAATTGAATTAATGATAGCAAAATCCATTTCACAGGTTTTTGGCATTAGAATCTGAAGCTCTAAAAGTCTTAAAAGTTTGTTACTGGAGGGGCGCCTGAATAACTCAATTGGTTAAGCATCTGACTCTTGATTTCAGCTCAGGTCATGATCTCAAAGTTTGTGGGACCGAGCCCCACGTCAGGCTCTGTGCTGACAGCCAGAGCCTGCTTGGGATTCTCTCTCTACCTCTCTCTCTGTCCCTTCCCCTTTCCTCACAATAAATAAACACTAAAAAAAATTCTGTTACTTGAATGAGAAATTCCTCTTGTGTAATTAGGTCTGTCCATCATATAATGGGAGAAGTTCATCTGTTTTTTTAAAAATGAGAAATGAATCTTCACTGAATGTTATAAATTTTTGGAAAGTCATTTAATTCTTCAACTCAAACAAAATTCTACTTGAAAACTTGTTTTGTACTCAGAGTATTATAGTCTGGACAGCTCTCTCATGAACACATAGCCAAAAAATTATGGTAAAAAAAAAAGATCACTCTATGAAAAACAAAATGTTTAAATTAGAAAAAGCGTATCTTAAAAGAATCTCATACCCTTTTATTTTATACATCATCTGTCAATACTGATGGAGCAATTCTATAATTTCTGAATTCATGAAGTATGGATAAAAATAAATGTGATCATAAAAACATGAAAGATTTGGAGACCTGAGATTCATGTAGGTAAGATTATTCTTTAAGTACATACATATTCATGTGTACTAAAAACCAAAGGTAAAATTACCTCAAAGTATCAGATCTTAGCTTCTGTATCTAAAATCAGAGCTTTCAGGAGAAGTGGTGTTGGATGAAAAGTAATTTAAGTCACAGAAAAGAGGACCAATTTGATAAAACAAAATAACCTGATAGAATTATTTCAGTTAAGGCTAAAAAAACAAAAACAAAAAGAAAAGAAAATTACATATGCTGATTTATAAGTAATGTTTAACTTATGGACATCAAGTAACGGACTACTGATAAATATCAGAGATAGATTTTAAATATTCACACCTGGATGTTCTACCTCATAATAATTACTAGAGAGAAAAATTGGAGCAAAAAGAAAAAACAGATTACAGACTTGCTGCTCCCAAGGCACCCTACAATTATGTTATTAGATCTCTCCCAAAGTGGGATTAGGAGCATAACAAACTTACTTAGAATTTCTCCATTAAGAAATGTATTCATTTGGAAATAGATTACCACTGGTCCTGTTGAAAGGAGAAAAAACAAATAAACCAAATTTTCTTCTGGATGGTCTTTCTCCTCTACCTACATCTTAATTAATATGAAGCTAAAGGTTAGAATAATATCTTTTCTTAAAGCTGGTATATAATAAAAATGCAAACATATTTAATAGAGTACTTGTATCTTAAGCTTCTAAAGTGACCAGATAAATCATGGTGATTCTGACCAACTATTCTAAATAAGGTGCCCTGTTAACATTTTAGGCCTTACTTATAGTGATATTCTGAAATGTAAAAGGCTTTGAAGTTTCTCCTATCTTTGAAATAAGCTTGTAGCATTACATATTGCCCTATTATTAAGAAATGTTAGTGTGTCACATGCCTGAGCTATCACTACCTATACATTCCTGCTGTTCTATCGTTCAGAGTAGCACTGCACATTTCCATCACCCAGACTAAATAGCTTCCCATAGTGGTGGGATTTAAGAACATTCATTCTTTTTCTGAAACTCACCAACTGTTTTGCATATTAAGTTGTCAAGTTCAGCAGGAGCTTGATGGACAACATTCAAGTGTTTTCCTTTCTTCCCAAAGAAACTCAGCCTTTTAAATAGAAGGCTTACAAACAAGAATTAGTCATATCTTTGATCATTAGTAGTTATGGGTTTTGTCTAACAGAGTGAACTCCAATATTCATAGGAGACCCACATAGGTTTTAAGAGAATTATATTTGCAGAAACACTGCAAGCTTTGGGCCTGAAGGAACAAAGTTCCAAAAGAAGAGGTCTTTGAACATTAAAACGTCTACAAGAAAGAAGAAGCCCGAGGAAAGAACAAACACAGGCTAACTTTCAAGGAAAAGAGAAGATGACTCAGAGGGTGGAACCCTAAGCCCAGAGGGCAGAGCCCCTAGCGAGGCTCACCCCTGGACGTAGAAGGACTATGTCTTCATTAAGAGAACTTCCAAACATTTGCCCAGATAGATTTCACAACTGCTATGGACCAGTTATTCCTCTGTACCCTTGTTTTCCTGCCTTTTTGAATAGGAATGTGAATAGCAGTTATCTTTGCTTGCCCTACCCATTGGCTGTGGGGGGGGGAAGAGAAATCATCTCTTTAGTTCTCAAGTGTACAGATTGAAGGGAACTGTACTTAAGGAATCACACCTGAGGGGTACCATCTGTAGCTGGACCAGAGATGGATGATAAGATTCTGGACTCAGGCAAATATTGTAATGGGATGAAGCTTTTGCAGGAGTGTTAGGAGAGAGTGAGTGTATTTTGCATGTGGGAGGAAGGTAAATAAATTGTGGTGGACTGCAAAGCTTTTCAACTAAATTGTGCTCAGAGAGGGGGACAAGTCTCCCTTCAAAAGGTGGATCTTAATCCCTCTTTCCTTCTTCAGCTCTTGCTTGAGCTGAACTTAGTGACTCACTTCTAACTACAGATATGGTGGAAGTGATTGGTGTTTAATGCCTGAAATTAGGTCATAAAATGCATTGCAGACTCCTCTTGGTTCGCTCCCAGATACTTGCTCTGGAGGAGAACATTCAAACAGCCTCAGGTAAAGGTCCACGTGGAAGGAACTGTGGCCTTCTGTCAACAGCCATGTGAGTGACCCATATCAAGGGCAGAAATCTCTAGGCCAGTCAAGCCTTCAGATGACAGGAGCCCTGGCTGATGTCTTGACTGCAACTTTGTGAGAGACCTTGAGTCAGAACCACTTAACTAAGCTACTCCTGAATTCCTGACCTATAGAAACAATGAGATAATAAAAGCTTGCTGTTTTAAGCTGCTAAGTTTTGGGATAATTTGTTATTAGCAATAGATACTAATGCAGATCACCAAGGATCATTTCCTTTGTTGTAAGTTTTGTTGTATTAAAAGAAATTTGAAAATCATTGCCCCAAAACATGGCAGGAAAACAAAATCTATATATTTTTCTAAGTCTTTCACAAACGAGATTTGAAATTCACTAGCAAAGATCTAGGGGAAAAAAAACAGGCAAACCACAATTCTTTTAAATCTTCTTTGTTCCTCTCTGGGCTGAAAATTACCACTCTTGCTATGTGAATATGGAAATGACAATCTATATGTCTGGCTTTTCCCATTATTTCATTAAGCTCCCTAAGGCATAAGTAAAATTGATAATTCTAGCCAATTTACAAATGGAAATTTTTTTAGGTATAAAAAAATTAGATCATCTACTCAAAGTTATGCTGTCTTTATTTAATGGGGGAAATTAAAACGAAAACCGTGGCATAGAAATGCAGCTTAGTACTTTTTCCTTTTAAACTTTATAGTTAAAATTGAATGGTCCTCTTTGGAGCACTTCCCAGAAAAATCTCAATATTTCACAACTCTGAACAAAATCTGAACTTTATCTCATTCTCTGTTACTTTATACTGTTATTCTAATCACTTGGCTACTAAGTTAGCTCTTAAAAGTGAAGTGAGTTTCTTTAGAAGAGGAAATATAGCTATTTTGATCCAAATAATTAATGTGCCCTTCAAGTATTTATAAACACAGAAAGTTTAGGTTTGCATTAAAGAAGGCACTGAACATTTACTCCCTCATGATGAATCCTCTGGTTAATTCCCTTTCTATTGGGAAAAGATTTCTTTATGGGTTTATTTAAAGTATAGGTTTAAAGTTAAGCTATACTTAAATTCCTCAAAGCTTGCATTGCTTTTATAACTTGTACTTGCTTTTATCTAGGCCACTGGTATAGCAGAACTACTCAGAGTGGAATTCCCCTTTGGCTTTGGGCTCAACCTCTGTGATTAAATTCACAAGGGCACAACAAAAATGATTCACCAGGGCCACCTTAGGCAGTTCTATGCCTTCGTGCTCATTTTAGTACCTAAGCTGTAAACCTAATCAACCCTAACATGTGCCTCGTGTGTCTATGTTTGCTGAACTCTATCTTAAGGGGTCTACAATCTTCATTAGGCATAAGGTTATCAATTCATTCTGCATGTTAAATCAGGCTATTCTCTCTCATTTTCCATCACTGATAGGTGACCACTTCAATTCCACTAAGGGCTTGTAAGAAAACTAACAAATCACTTCAATTTGATTTACGGAGTCTGAATATTACTGTGCAGAAAGAATTTTCAGCTTCGGTTTATAATCCGCTTTTACTGCAGTTAGTTTGGTATGTGTGCATCTATGTGTGCCTGTATTAGGTGCACGTAACATCAGGCTGCCAGATCACACGCCACCACAGAAGCCTGGAGTCTTCCTATGTGGCTCTGAGTGTCAGGCTGCACAAAGAAAGAAGAAAATATGTTTCTTGGCTCCTGACAATTCAGTCATGCCTCACTCTGAATTGGGAATCCTAGCTCAGCCACATCTTTTGTACTCCTTTAATGAAGCATTACACTCAGAAATCACACAAAGAAAACTTACACCACCAAGACATTACTAGTTTGTTATTAAAGCTTTGCAAATTAAATCTATAAATTAGGTGTTCATTTCACTTCTGAAAGACCAGGGGCAACTAGTAGTCACTCCTCCTTCACTCTTCTTCTAATGGGAGCATACTCTAAGATACCTCCTACCTCCCTGTATCAAGGTCTCCAGAGAGAAGAAAAATTATAGCCTGATTATTTCAACTTACAGGACTTTGCAAGATCTGAGTAACTCGTTTCCTCTGCTCCATCATATTGAAGTCCTGACGTAGATCAGGAGACATGTTCCTCTCTCGAATGTATTCTGGGTCATTCTCATTGATGCGGTCAAAATACCTCTCTTTGTGAGGCATGCTGGGAGGGGGAGGAGTAGTGACCACGCCTTGGCTGGCATCTGAACTCATGCTTCAAGTCGACGGACTCCCTTGTTATCTGCATTAATAAACACAAAGGAAGACATTCATGAAAAATTCATTATTAAATTTGGATTTTATGGAAGTCAAACAGAACTTTTTTTTCCCCCCAGAGGGTAACAGTGGCAGCTTTCTTTAAAAAGTAGCTTCTCAAAAAATATTAGAACAATTTATTAAGGTAAAAATATCTTTGATTATAATGCTAAATTGGAAATTTATATTTTCAGAGGTAATGACAACTTGTGATTCAATTACAATAATGTCATCAACTGCTACCTAAATTTTTAGAGGGAGCAATTATCAAAATCTCCAAAGTAACATCTAGAGTTGTCTGGGTGGCTCAGTAGGATAAGCGTCTGACTTCGGCTCAGGTCATGATCTCATGGTTCATGGGTTTGAGCCCCACGTTGGGCTCTGGCTGACAGTTCAGAAACTGGAGCCTGCTTTGGATTCTGTCTGTCTGTCTCTCTGCCTCTCCCCAGCTTGTGCTCTCTCTTTCAAAAATAAACAAATAAGCTTAAAAAAATCACATCTAAAATGGCAAATTTTCCCCAATAGTGCGTACTGTCATTAGAGCTTCTCTTTTCTCTTATTCGTGCTTTGTTTTTTTTTTTTTTTAAAGACCCCACTTTGGCCATATATAATGACCACTACATTTTATAATGAATGTAACTTACTAACATATGAGAGAAACACAGCTATAAGTTTTTCAAATGATTCGACTTCCTAGGGGAAATGTAGGAATTATTAAGGTTGCCAGACTAAATACCTTCAGCACATAGTGCTTCAAATCCAAGAAACAGTAAAAAGCTATTCAGAAACTATATGAACAAATGATTCACTTAATTATCGGTATAATCACAGTTTTCTAGACAGATCCAGGAGGGAGAAAGTACAGGCCACTTTCCTCTTAAGGATCTAAATCTCTGCTAAAGACCCAAGATTTCTGGTCTCATCTTTAAAACACAGTAACAACCAGTGAGACTGTACTGGTCTCTAGTAACAGTCTTCTCTGAGAGAATTCATCTCTAAAGTTGCCTTGGTGCAACTTAGACCAAGCAAACTAATTAATAAGGATTTCATGCAATCTCATGCTCACCAACAGCATTTTCCACAGAACTAGAACAAACAAACTTAAAATTCGTATGGAACCACAAAAGACCCCGAATAATCAAAGCAATGCTGAAAAGTTAAACAAAACAAGACATCACAATTCCCAGACTTCAAGTGATAACATAAAGCTGTAGTAATAAAAACTGTATGGTACTGGCACAAAAATAAACACAGATTAATGAAAGAGAATAGAAAGCCCAGAAATAAACTTGAAATTATATGGTCAGGTCAATTAATCTTTAACAAAGGAGGCAATAATAGGCATTTAGAAGAAGTCTTTTCAACAAATGGTACTGGGAAAACTGTGTAGCAACATGCAAAAGAATGAAACTGGACCACTTTCTTATACCATACCCAAAAATAAAACTCAAATGGATAGAGGGCCTAAATGTCAGATCTAAAACCATAAAAATCCAGAAGAGAGCACAGGTAGTAATTTTTCTGGTATCGGCTGTAACAATTCTTTCTAAATACGTCTCCTGAGGCAAGAGAAACAAAAACAAAAATAAACTATTGGGACTACATAAAATAAAAAGCTTCTGCACAGCAAAAAAACCTACAAAAATAAAAGACAACCTACTGAATGGAGAAGATATTTGCAAATGACATGTTTGATAAAGTGTTAGTATCTAGAATATATGAAGACTTACAGATCTCAAACCTAAAAACCCAAATAGCCCAAGTAAAAATAGGCAGAAGACATGCTGAACAGAAATTTCTCCAAAGAAAATATCCAGCTGGCCAAAAGACACATGAAAAGATGCTCAACATCACTCATCATCAGGGAAATGCAAATAGAAACTACAATGAGATATTACATCACACCTGTCAGAATGGCTAAAATAAACTCAAAGACCAGTGTTGGTGAGGATGTGGAGATAAAGGAATCCTTGCGTGCTATTGGTGGTGCTAAGCCACTGTGGAAGACAGTATGGAGGCTCATCAAAAAATTAAAAATAGAGCTACCCTTTGATCCAGTAATTGCACTACTACTGGGTATTTACTCTAAGAATGCGAAAATATCAACTTAAAGGAATATGTGTACCCCTATGTTTATTCCAACATTACAATAGCCAAATTATGGAAGCAGCCTAAGTGTTGTTCATCAGTAGATGAATGGGTAAAGAAAATGTCACACACACACACACACAGAGGAATATTATTCAGTCATAAAAAAGAACAGGATCTTGCCATCTGCAACAGGGATGCAGCTAGAGAGTATAATGCTAAATGAAATAAGCCAGTGAGAGAAACACAAATACCTTATGATTTCACTCATATGTGGAATTTAAGAACAAAAACAAATGAATAAAGGAAAAAGAAAAAGAGAGACAAAACAGAGACTTAAATATAGAGAAACAACAGATGGTTACCAGAAGGGAGGCTGGTTGGGGGATGGGTAAAATAAGTGAAAGGGATTAGAGTCCACTTATTTTGATGAGTACTAACATATAGAATTACTGAATCACTATATTTTACACCTGAAACTAATATAACACTGTATGTTATTTATTTAATAAATAAAAATTTTAAATCTTATATTAATTCTGGTCTTAGAAATGTAAGCTAATTTTGTCAAAAATAATTTTTGTGGAACATGTTAAAACTCTGTTAGCTTCTACTTGACAACATCAATCTACTACACAACATTCTAGAAGTTTAAATCACTTTCATGTACTATACAAAAAAATCATGAAATAGGATTGAAGCACTTTATATCATATCACTTTAGCGCAACTCTGATTTTGTGACTACAAAGCAACTAATCAGGGAAGAAAAGAGAGCTTATATATAAGTGAGTCTTCCATATCCTAAATCAGTAATTTAAAAATTGAGAAAACATGCACCTGAACAATGAATATGTGATGATTAAATGGATACCTCGCAGGATAAAGGGGCAAGTTTTTTGTTTTGTTTTGTTTTACAACATCCGTTATTAATAGAATGACTCTGACCGTATTATATTCTTCAGAAATTGGGTTTTGCTGTACTGTTATCAGCTTGGCTTACAAACATAGTATTTATCATCACCTTGCTATTAAAATGTGGTGCAATAGAGCACCAACTCTAAGAAACTTTTTTCATATCCAATGGGGTTTTTATCAGTAGTCCAGAAGTCTAACCAATCTTTTGAACCTAGTGTTCTTAGAAGCTGTTTATAATAGGTCAATGTGAACTCCTTAAAACAGTTTACTAACACAAAGAAATTTCAAGGAGTACTTAAAATCTAGTTACATAGCAGTTTACGCGAGTAAAAAAAAAAAAAGTTAAAATATGAAGCCGCTGGTAGACAAAATATTGTAAAAAAGTAGTTAATTTTTTAGCATTCAGATTTCAGCATTAGTCTTTGTAAGCCAGAAGACACAAGTGAAATACTTATTCAACTGTTGGCTTTGTTATAAAACTTTAAAAAATCGTGCTGTGGTCAGGTATGATTGTTCTCTAATGAAGTATTTTCACTTTAATATGGTTAAAATATTCTAGAACTATAGCTGGTTATTAGACTAAAAAACTTTTAATTACATTCTAAAAATTTCTATGTAATCCTTTCAAGCAGAAATCAGAATGGTACAGAGAACTAGACTGAGGATACAGACCAGGATTCAAGTCTTTGCATTTCCCTCAATTGTTGTGTGACCTTAGAATAGCCACAATTGTTATTCATTAGAGAGAAGCTGATAGCTTCTTTTAAAGCTATGATGGCCCATTACTAAAGAAGCACCTTGTAACTGTTAGAAAATCTCTAGTTGTTATGAATACTAAGCCATATAGAGTTGAATTATTATATTGTACACCTGAAACTAATATAACACTGTGTCAACTACACTCAAGAAATTTTAAAAAACCACAACTATCAGTTACTGAGCTCCTACTATGTGCTGACCACTGAACTTTATATACATTATTTACTTCTCTTTAAAGAAATTTTTTATTTATTTAGAGAGAGAGGGAGAGAGTATGAGCAAGGGAGAGGCAGAGAGAGGGAGAGAGAATCCCAACAGGCTCCATGATGTCAGCACAGAGCCCAACATGGGGCTTGAACTCACGAACCATGAGATCATGACCTAAGCTGAAACTGAGTCAGATGCTTAACAGACTGAGCCACCCAGGTGCCCTAAAGAGTGCACTTATCTTGATGGGCACTGAGAAAACATATAGAACTGTTGAATCATATTGTACACTCCCAAGCAAATATAACATTGTATGTTACCTATACTTGAATTTTTTAAAAAAATAGGGTTGGTTAATTAAAAAAAATTTTTAATGTTTTATTTATTTCTGAGAGAGAGAGAGAGAGAGACAGCATGACCAGGGGAGAGACAGAGAGAGAGGAGACACAGGATCTGAAACAGGCTCCAGGTTCTGAGCTAGCTGTCAGCACAGAGCCCAATGCAGGGCTCGAACCCCTAACCATGAGAACATGACCTGAGCCGAAGTCGGGTGCTTAAACCGACTGGGCCTCCCAGGCGCCCCAGGGTTGGTTAATTTTAAAGAGAAGGAGCCCTGGAACTGAATTGTTTCTCATATCCCTAGAAGCAGAAATATTTATGCTTAGTTTAGTTGTTCAAGATTAAGAAAAACTAGAATCTCCCACTATAGTCTATTCTTTAATTTTTTGAGGAACCTCCATACTGTTTTCCATGGTGGCTGCACCAGTTTGCATTCCCACCAACAATGCACGAGGGTTCCTTTTTCTCCACTTCCTCACCAACACTTGTTATTTTTTGTGTGTTTGACTTTAGCCACTCTGACAGGGGTGAAGTGACATCTCATTGTGGTTTTAATCAACCAATCCATTTATGTATGTATGTATGTATGATGTATGTATGTATTTTTGAAAGAGAGAGAGGGAGAGGGAGAGCAAGCACATGCATGGGAGGGGCAGAGAGAGGGGGGGACAGAGGA